ACACCTGTTCCACCAACAGATCTCAGGCCGGGTCTTGCTGAGGAAACTCTTCTGCTGTGCGACTGCTGGACGCCTCTTGAAGTGCTGGCATTGCAGTGCAGCCAGCGCTTCTTTTCAGCCTGCTTCTTGGCTCTGCCCCGCAGCTGCTTCTTTCTGAGAGGGAGGTTTTGCCCTAGTGCAGTCTCTAATATTCACTGATGTACAGGCTCATTAAATTATTTACCTGCTTCATGGACATCCACAAATGGTCAGTTTAAATGGATTCTCTGCATCCTTTTGACAACTAAAGGACTGAGATGACAGTACTGGGAGGATAAACATTCACCACCTATAACGTAATGGACTGAGGACCTTACAGCATTCCCTATTTTTGAACTGATGGCATATAAATATCACCTTCGAATGGACAGGTGTTTGTATCTGGAGGCATAATGGCTAGAACATTGTATGCTTTTCCTGTAAACCCATGTATATCTATTTAAAAAACAAAGATATCTATCTACCTACCTACCTACCTACCTACCTATCTCACTTCAGGGATGCCTGCAGGGGTCCCCCTTCCTCTCCCATCAGAACACCTTCCACCCTCCATGCCCCTTCAAGCTCTGGAGAGGCATCTGGTGCATTTCTCTCTCGCTTTCCAGCTGCAAAGTGATGGGGATTGGCCACTCCCTCTTCCAAGGTGAGAGTGCTGCGTTTGAAATTGGAGAGGGGTTCTGGGCTGGCTTATGACCTCTCCGAAGCTTGCCCAGGCACCATAGGATTGCTTGCTAATTGGTTTTTTCCTTCTAGCACTGTTAAAACATAGGTACACAACTGGATGCTCTCCAGATGTTTGGGACTGCAAACTCTTTCATCTTGAGCATTGGCCACACTGGCTGGGGACTATGAAAACTGTAGTCCAAAAGAGCTGGAGGATACTGATACCCCTGGATTAAACTTTAATTAAATCGAGTAGACTTGCACACATTGGCAAGTCTACTCAGAAGTAAGCCCCAATGACTTCAGTGGGACTTACTCCCTAGTAAATACATATAGGATTGCAGTTCTAATCAACAGAAGGTACAACCCAATGCATGTTTGGACAGGAGAAAAGAACTACAACTCCCAACAAGGCCCAGCTGGCGTGGCTTGCCGAGGCATGCTGCGAGCTGCAGGACTTCTTTTCCGAGGAAACATGCATGAGCTTGCATCTGAAGAGGCTGCTCTGATTAAATGGGCAGCAGATTTGAAAAAGAAAACCCAACTGTTGTTAACAGAAGTGCTTTTAAGAACTATGAATGTCAATTCCCTCATCCCCCATACTCAAGACAGCATCCTTCAAGATAACACCTATTCCATGCGCGCATGCACAAGTGCACACGCGTCCCCTCATAACAAAGGAACTGCACTTTCTGCCTTGCACGTTCTCTTTCCTACCCTACGCTGCAAGTATTATTATTTACTATGCATTATATTTCTTTATAATAATAAATTAACAATGAAAGAATTTAATAATAATTAGACCATTGTGGAAATCCTCAATGAAACCACAACAACTGCATGAACATCTTACAGAAAGCAGGACCTCATCAAACAGCCACCGTGCAACTCTCTTTCCCTCCTCACACCTGTGAGCTGAGCAAGGAAGCCGCCTCTCCGTGTGAGCAGGAATGAAGGGTGCAAGGTCAAAGGTCTGCAGAGCAGCACAGGCTGGCTCTGGATACCCCTCCAAGTTCCTGGGGCGGCTTTCTGGCCCTTGAGAACTGAGGCACAGTGAGGAAGGACACTCCAAGAGAAATGGGTTGCAGGAAGCCTTTGAAACTTACAGCACTACACCAGGCAGCTGCACCAACCCTAGAGGGGTCAGACCCAAAACAACCTGTGAGGGCCTAGATCGTAGAGGCAACTTGCAACTTCTGCAGCAGACTTTTCCCCAGGTCACACCATTTTGCAGCCCAGCCTGTCCTCTTAGGGAGGTGGGATTTGCGCAAAGGAGCACTTGCACTGACGCTCATTTGCAAACAGAAATGCTATACCTCTCCCCAAAAAATACAAAGCAAGCCCCAAAGACAGTCCAGGAGTGGACAGCAGAGTGGAAGACACCTGGCAATTTAAGATGTTTTTGGCTAGACCAGATTTAGCCAAGCCAGTACCTCCCTCAGCACAGCCCTTTCCCAGATGCAGCTGGCATATTTTAATAGCACGGATTCCATCATCCCTGCAGACTCCCCAGAATAGCAGGTGAGGTGGTAAAGCTGTTCCTGGACTTGTATCATTTAGGACTGCTGGAAGGGACTGCAGGGATTTCGCAGCTGAACCTTTTCCCAGAAGACATTCCCTTGCAGATAGACAGAAAAGTAGCACAGCTGCAGGCAGGTTTGGCTGGAACGCTTCTTCCCAACATTCAACTTTCGGAGGCACTGTTTAAAAAGTAATAAAATAGGAGGCCCATTCATTCCTGCCTCCCCACACCTGCAATTTAAAATAGGATTGTCTGAACATGGAGGGGGTTGCTGCCTCTTGTTTTCTGACCTAGGCCTACATGATGAAGAGGGTGCTCTAAAGAGAAATAGTTTGCAGATGGAAGAACTAGATTTAGAATAGGGACTTTACCCAGCTACAGGCCTGGCAAGCCACACCTTCCCTCTGCACACCCACCTAGGGTCTGTCGCACCTGAGCATCTGCTTGAAAGAGGTACAGGATGGTGCGGTGGACCTCTGCTCCCAGACCATGGGCAAGACACTCTGTGCATGCCACCTCTGATCCAGCCACCCTGGCAGGCACACAGAACTGAAGCGGCACTCCACCAAAAACATGAATGGGCAGCATCCTTTTGGCGGAAGTACGGGTGCTTCTGGACTGCGCTCCATGGGTCTCGATGGAACACTGCATGTCATAAAACATACGACAGATATCTGAGATTTAACAATGGCAAATGAAAAACGAAACATGCTAAAGAACCAAAACAGGGACGAGGAGGGAAGAGACTAGACGGGAAAATTTTTCCCACTTCCAGTTGATTTCATCAGGATCCCCCACTTGCTCTTAAGCGTTTTGGCTTGGAACACCATCAGTCCTGACCAGCACAGCCGACAGTGAAGGGCAGCAAGAGCGGCACCCAATCCTGTCTTGCAGGCCACGATTCCCCACCCCTGCAGCAGGCCGTCATTGCTCCACTCTGACCCACCAGCCTCACTTTGGCCCTCCAGGTCAGCCACATGGCATGGTCTGCAGCTGGCTCTGGCCTCTGTTCGCACATTCTCAGGTGGTAGCAAAAGCAGGTGGTTTACAAATCCCTGAAGGTGATCTTTGCGTGCAGCCAGACGGGCGAACCACACGTTGTACAGACCTGCAACATACACATACAGAGGGAGACGGAAATTGGCATGAATATGAGACACAGCCCAGGCCACTGCATGTTACAAAGAATACTGACAGCAAAGGCCTGTTGCACGCACATGCTTAGAACACACACAAAGGTCCTGAGCTGAAGGCTGATTAAAGAAAGACGGCAGGATTCCCTGGCCAGCAGCCCCTGATCAGGGGCATCACTCATTTTGCCTTGACAAACAGGGAGCAAAACATGCAAGCAGAAGAACACCCAAATCTAATCACCACACCAGCTGCTTTTCTGTAATATTTTATTTATATAGAAATGCTTAAAAAAACATGAAGTAGCACCATTACTTAAGTCTTACCTTTATTATGTAGAACTTTAAATGTCAGAAAAATAAAACTCTTGATACAATTTCAAATCTTGTCTCAGCAAATATAATATTAGTATTTGACCATGAGGTTAAAGGCCCTTTATCATAAAATAAAATATACTTTGTTTTTAAACTTTGCTCAGTAAAGTACATTTAAGATCAAGTAACATCACCTACATATACATAAACAAGTGGTAAACAAATGTATTAAAATAGAAATACTAAACTATAGTGGTGCAACAGAATTTGTTTGTAATTTCCACTGAATTCTATTTATACAAATGTTAGAAAGCATCAACAGTTCCTCTTGATGTATGCGCAAGCGCTTCCATTTTTTGTAATAATATAGAATAAAATATGTTTCATATCACTGAATAGAAAATATGCTGGGTGAAGCAGATTTAAAAGATTTTTTTCTGAACCTATAAAAAATCTCCATCCCAACAGAATACTGTTCAAAGTATTACACATTTATGGTTTTGCAATTCCATTCACAATTGTGTGATAGTAAAATAATACAGTGTTCTTTGCCATAAGGCCATACTAAAAAATAAGAAAGTTTTAACCCAGCTACAAAAAAGTTCACTGAACTTAAATTAAAATACTTGTAAACATCTTTGCAATATGAAATATAATTTTTCAAGTCAAAAAGAATAAAATACTTCAATCTGTATTAATGCAATTTTTCTTTAAAACCTTTAAACGTTTTAATATATATAAGAGATATGTTACAGTTTCCTTTTTTTCTTTTTTTTTTCTTTGATAAAGCTGCAGTATCATAAGATGATTATTATTAATTTCTTTTTCACAGGAAAAAATCTTGCCCTTTCAAGAACATTCAAGAAAAGCAATCCATCCATAGATTTATTTCTGAATAAGCAATCTAGAAACTACCAGCACGTTATACTAACTGTTCACACGCCATCATAATCCATATGCATTTCCTACTTTAATTTAGGGAAGAGAAAGGGAGGAGGAGGGAGAGGGGGAGGGGGAGGGGGAGAGAGAATGAGAAAGAGAATGACAGAGGAGGGAGGGAGGGAGGAAGTGTTTTGGAAGCTTGGCCTTAAGAGAAAAACTAGTCTATTACTAGAATGTCGTTCCTTAATATTTATAGCATGCACCAGATGTTACAAAACCCCCCTAAACTGCTACAGTACACGCAATGCAAAAAATGAGAAACCAAACGAGAAGGACCCCCACGCGAGACGGGGCCCCTCCGGCGGGGCGCCCGGTGCCCGCGCCGCTCCGGCTCCACGTGGCGCCGCGCGGGGCCGGGCCGGGCCGGGCGGCGGGGGCACGGCGCCCGCTCAGGAGAAGATGCGGATGGCCTGCGTGACGGCGCTGTGGCACACGGGGCACTGCGGCTCCGTCTTCTCGCAGATGCGGTTGGCGCACTCCATGCAGAAGAGGTTGTGGCCGCAGGGCACCAGCGCCGCGATCACCTCGCTCTCGAAGCACACCGAGCAGTCGCGGCTGCCCTTCCTGCGCAGCCCGGACGACGAGCACGACGAGCTGGACGACGAGCTGGA